TAAGTTTACTCTTCGTCTTGTGAGGGGCTCAGAGCTAGTGCTTTGACAAATCCCACTTTCACTGACTGGTTTTTCCTCTCACAGCCACTTTCGATTATGAACACACTATCCATTTTAGAGAGCCTTACCCAGTGCCTGGCATGCATTAGGACATCCAATGAATATATGATAAACAGATAGTGAATGAATGAATCACAGTCAGCCGAGGCAGCTCAGCAAAAGGCTTTGGAGTATATGAGCCAAATTTATTTTATCCTTTTGTGTGGTCCAGTACCTGTATCAGCCAGTGGTGATTAGACTAGCAGGGCCATAAACGAGAAAGGCAACAGAGTGAACTCTTCAGGTTCTGAGTCTCGAAAGCCTAAGCGATGATCCTTCAATTCCAAGATTCAGAATTGGGTGATATAATAACCAGGAATGAGAATCACTGCAATGCAGTGAATTACTTAATGTAACTCCATTATCCTGATGGATCTGAGTAAGAAAGTAATGGAAAGAATACTGATTGGATTATATGACTCAGCTGTGACTGACTGTTAACAGCTGAATTGTGACTGCCCTTCTGCTGGGTATAAAATTAGCCATCTCTCAGAAGAAGGAAGTGAGGGATCTCACTACTAGCAAGAGTGAACAGCCAAGAGTGGACAACCCTGGGATCCCTGTGCATTGAATCTCTTTGATCTGGGAGACAGCTTTGATATCTCAGGACTGGCAGAAGAGCAGCAACAGCAGAGCCGGGAGCTTCCGCATGAGACTCAGAGCCAACCCACAGAGCAAGTAAAGCTGAGCACTTTTAGTTAGGAGGTTGGTTTATGGAGTAAGGAGTCTCTGGGCACTTAACTGGGAGAGCTAGTTTGCTGACCTACAGAGTTGGAGCCAAGTGCTTTGGGGTTGAGGTTTATGGTGGAGTGGCATGCCCTTGGAGCACTTATTGGCAACCTTGAGGGAGTTTTGTAACATTGTCCAAGCAGAGTAGAGGCTAGGTCAAGAGGTCTAAAGCAAGAGATGCCTGCATGTTAGCACAGCAGAGAAGAAACTGTATCCAGAGCATTTCCTCATCTGAATTGTACTTTGTTACCTTCCTTAATAACCCCCGTAACACAGCCTTTTCTATGAATTCTTCATGGTCATTGCAAAGCATTAGAGAGCCTAGCAGACAAGTAAAGCATGGGGAAAGGACAGTGCCATGGGAGGGATGAATGGAGTCAGAACACCACTGGAAGGGGTGGAAAGTGGAGGCATGTCTGACCTCTGTCTTGCGGCACTTGGCATTGGACGCCAGAGAGGTCAGATGTGGCTCTGCACAAGCACCGCTCAACCACAGGTACTACTCCGATCTTGCCATGTGCTCTTGCACCCGGCCGTCTCTCAGCTAGGTCTGGAGCACACTCTGGGTACCCATCTATCTGTCTCTTGGCATAGGCAGTGGGGCTCATGATTCTGAGCTTCTTGGTAAGTATTTTTTCCTGGCATTTCTCAGGCGTTCATGATTACTTTCTCTTTCCATGGGAAGGCTAAGGAAGAGAACCGGACAAGTATCGGTGGGAGGTTCATGAAGAGATGTCAGCTCCAGTGGCGCCATGTGTGTCATGTTGGGCTGCCAACAGCAGGCAGCAGCTCAAAGCTCCCGGCCTCTCAGACCAAGAAAGATGAGGCTGTCTGTTTCCATCAATATTTACAGCTCCGAATCCCTACGGGGCAGTTCTGCTGTGTCCTATAGGGTTGCTGTGAGTCAAAATCTACTTGACAGCAGTGGGTTAGTGGGTTTTAAGAAAAGTGATAGAAGCAAGATTCTTTCAGAAGGGCTTTCTTTGCTCAGCACAACTGAGCTAAGGTTGTTCTTTCTTACATTAGTAAATTAGCCTAGAATGTCATATTTCTTTTCCTGAGTGTCATGCTACATAATACTCTGTCATCTTTGAAATCTCTCTCTGCCCTCGTCACGCCCCCCACAGGGGGCTGGTTAAAAAGTCCCGCTGAGTGTCTCTCAGAAAAAAAGTCACGTCCTTTTTTCCTGGCCCGAGAACAGTGAGCTGGTTCAGCCCTTGATATGGTATGCTCTACCTAGCCCACTGCGACTGTCTCCTAAAGTGTCTATTCGACTACATGCTGCACATTGCAGTCAGAGTCAGCTTCCGAAAGCTGCAATCGGATCTTGTCTGTCTTCAGTTGGACACATACTTTGTTTTTCCATCTTGCCAGCAGCCATTACTTCTGAGATGTGCTCCTCCATCACACGATTAATGAGCGCTCCATGGACTAACTAACCTGATACCCCCATCCAATCCCATCGCCACACACACATCAAGACTGTGGATTGGCCATGCATGCTGTGACTGCCCCAAGACTGAGATATGAACCATGCAATTGGACCCAGACAAAAATAACTAAAATTGCTGGTATCAAGCCAATTCCAACTCACAGGGACCCTATCGGCCAGAGACGAACTTCCTCTGGGGGTTTCCATGACTGACTCTTTACAAGAGTAGACAGCCCTGTCCTGCTCCATGGGGCAGCTGGTGATTTCACACTGCTCTTAGAAGCCCTGTACTTAATTAACCACTTTGCCACCAGGGCCAATACCAGCCAATCAGTCCTCCACGGGGCCTTCTGCCAGAACTGCTGGGAAGACCCTCTCAGTAATTACCAGCTCCAGCTGAGGCTACAGCTACCTAGGCCATTCTTCCCCACAGAGAATAAAGTCTATCAAAATAAGCAGAGGTCAGACAACGAGAAGCCAAGGACAGAGGCTTCAACAAGTTTAAGGATGTCTTTGGAGCCAACAGACCCTGCTATGCTTTGACTACCTTGAACTTACCAGCTATATGAACCAATAAATTCACCTCCTTGCTCTTGTAAACTCTGCTGAATTGCCTTGCTTATGAGCACGGGTCCTAGTGCACATAATGATTACTTTGTGTTATTGATGTTAGGAGCTGAGTTGATTCTGACACAGCAATTCTATGTACAGCACACAGAATGAAACACCGCGAGTCCGGTGCCATCCTCACAACTGTTCTTATGTTTGAGCTCATTGTTGTAGTACCTGTGTCCATCCATCTTGTCGAGGGCTTCCTCTTTTACACTGTCCCTCTACTTCACCATGCACGACATCCTTCTCCTGGGACTGCTCTCCATTATGCCATTACTTAGAAACCGTAATAACGTTACTTCCTACAGTAAACAAACAAACCCGAAGCCTTAGGATAATGATCAAGTTCTCTACTACAGGGTTCCCAGCCTTTTGATGGGCATGCAAAGCCCTTCCTGACCAGCACTCTTTGAAGGAGAACTTTCTGATGTTTAGTCTCTCGTACCTGACTATTTCCCCCTCCCAGAAATCGGGCACTGCACACATGTTTACAAGTGTTGTTAGAAATGAAAGATTGAGGACTGATATGTCAGACTCTTAATTCCTCTGCAATTTTGGACATTCATCCTGGAGAATTAAATGTTTATATGTGCACAAAAACACCCTTCATAGCAGGCTTATTCAAAATAGTGCCAAATAGGAACCAACCCAGATGCCCTCGAAGGGTGCCTAGTTAAACGGAGGTGCTTCCATAGGTGTATAAGCTATTCTTGAAATGACAGCATTTTAGAAATGGAAAACAGATTCATCGTTGCTGAGGGCGAGAGACTGGGAAACACGTAGGGGTGGCCACCAAAGGGCATCATGAAGGAGTTGCATGGTGATGGAACTGTTCGGTATCTCGACTCTCTGAAGATCAATATTCTGGTTGGAATATTATAACTTCATTTCTAAAGATGTTACCATTAGGTGCGTTAAGGGTATGTGGGATCTCTCTGACAAGTATTATTCCTTTTAACTTTATGTGAATCTAGAACTATCTCAAAAAAGTCTGCTCTTTTAAATCGCTAACCACATCTAAAAGGTGACTGACGACAAAAGGATATTCCGTGCAAGAACCCATTGCTGTCAAGTGGATACCGGCTCATGGTGGCCCTAGCAGACAGAGTAGAACTGCTCCCACACAGACAGACAGACAGACAGTCTCATCAGCTTCCTGTGCCATGAGCAGCCAGACACTTAACCCACTGTGCCACCAGGGCGCCATCGCAAAGCAAAAGTACCTCACCAACAGTCACAGTGTGAAGTGACAGCCCTCCCTGTGGCAAGGGCACCAGTGCGCTCAAGAGGTAGGCCAATCTCTCAAGCAAACTGCTAGAGAAGACAGTCTTCCTGCTGGACATATGAGCGGACGGCCAACGACACGGAAATGGAGGCAGTCACAATCCTCAAGAGAAGCCTTGCTCCCCAGCACCCTGAGCTGGGCCCTGGTCACCAGCCCGCCTCGCCGAGCGCAGCGGGGGCCTGCTTGGGGATGAGTAACAGCCACTGATCTGTGAAATCTGATCTGTTTGCCATTTAGCACCATGTGACTCACTGAGGCCCACTGTGTTCACATCTAAAAATACAGGAAATCTGCAGCCTAAGCACATTTGGCTCACTGGCTCATGGCTTTTTTGCCTCAAATACTGCAAATTTGGAGACAGTGGGCTTTCTATTATTTGCACCACCAATTGAAAAGGAGAACCTACTGTTCAGTGACAAGGTGGAGGTGAGAACCTGGAAGCGAAGAGGCCATGACCAGAATTATCTGCTCATAGATGTTTTCTCTGGGGGTTCCGTGACACCTGCTCACTCACAGGAAACGTGAGATCTGCGGTCCTCTGCTGGCGAGCATGATGCCACCCGCTGGGCTTTGGGTGTGCCCCGACAGACCTGTCTCAAAAGAGGACCGAGGGTCAGGAGCTACTAAGGATAGGGGAGGGTGTGGTGATCACAAAAGGAACCAAGTGCCACTTGGACCTGGCAGTTTTTTGTTTCCTCCAGTCCCACTCTGAGCCTCTTGCAGTGAGGGCCACAGCCATGACAACTAGGCGTGGCCCCGTGGACACTCGGGACTCCCTGGTGACTGTGCAGGGCAGCCCGCGCAGGGACTGTCTTCGGCTCGGCCACTGCTACACTCACTCACCCATCAGGACACTCAGCAACTTCTGCACTCTGGAGTTGACCCCCACGATGCGGTACAGGCCCTGCTCGTTGATGCCTGAGAAGAGAATGAGCAATCGTTTAATTAGACGCACGTCAGGCCACAACAGATCGACCTAGCCAAGGGGACTTTTCTTCTTCTTCTTTTCATTTTCTCAGCCCTTCCAACAGCTGCTCTAAAGTCCCTTGTCACCCAGCTCCGCTCGGAGCGCAGGAGTGGGCTTGGTACAGCTGTCTAGGATTTCATGGGTGTGGGGCACACCTCAGCCCTCACGACAGCTCAGTCAGCACAGGGGGAACTAAGCTTCCCCTGCACCTGTGAAAGCCAGCATTTGAAGAGTCGTGAAGGAGGCAAAATATATACTTCTAAATATATGCTATATCACTCCCATTTTTAATTAAAAAGGGGGAAAATAAAGATGTAGAAAAATCATGCCACAAAATAAAAGTTTACAATCTATTCTTACATCGATCTCAGAATGGACCCTTATAAGCATAGCGAATGAAAAAATTCAGGAGTAAGGGCCTTTTTCAGAATTGATTCGATGGCAGTGAGTTTGTTTGAGGGCATTTTTAATTTAAGGAGATGTTAAATCCAGGACTGAGATAGTAGGACCCCTATTCATTTATATAACGTTAATAGTCTACTTCTTTTTTCCTTTAAAAAAGATGTTATTAGTCTTGTAGCTGAGAATCGTCCCTGATAATCTGCGCAGCGAGGTGCGCGCCAGTGTCAGCCTCTGTGAGGACCGTGCACTGGCACTCAGAGCTGCGAGCCTCTCTCCCTTCCTTTCGCAGCCAGTCATTCCTTTGACCCCACAGAGACGGTTCTTAATGGTACATAATGCTCACGTCAGACATTTTTAACTTGGGAAGCTACCCTAATGTTTGATTTGTAACAAGACTTCAGGGGTATTTTTGGTTGAAGGTTTAAAAATTACCGCAGGGCCAATAGGTTCCGGGGGTTATCCATCCCCGTGGCTCCGGAAAATGTGGCTTGCAATTCTACTCTACCTTTGTCCCCTCTGGTGAGGACTCTCCCAGGAACGACTCAGGAATGCAAGATGGGTACCAACCAGTTCTTCTGGTTTCAGAACAAAAGGAGCTGCCTATTTTTTTGTTTTTTACTCTATCCAAGAAACTGACAAGGGGGTTAATTTCAAACACTCAGAGAACCAAGAAAAAAATGCACCTTAGTACTTTGGTTCATATAGAAGCATGGGGCTTAGATCACCACTGAGATGCTGGGGACAATTGAGACTAAAGATTCCAAATGGTTTTCCTCCCTAAGCCCATCTTAGCTGATCCCTCTTACCTAACTGGATCCTCCCATGGTCTACAGGGCTCCGGATGCTGCCTTCCTGTGAGTTCAGAATACCAAGCTTGTGGCCGCCTCAGTCTTTCCACTGGCTCATAGCATGGAACGCTCTTCACCCAGAGCTTTCCTTCAGACAGCTTCAGGTGTAGATACAACCTCTTCAGCCCAACTCCTCCCACTGTTAACACAATCGGTCATGGCCTTACTCTACTTTGTATTTTCTTTATATCAGGTAACAATGCCTGAAATAATCTCATTTGGTTTCTTACAGCCAGAATGTAAACTGAGTAAGCCTGTTCACCATTACATCCCAAGCACCAGAATGAGTCTGTGGAACATGATAGTGAAGACACAGAGCTTCATAAAATACTTTTGGGGAAAGATACAATTTCCTGGAAGAGATTCAGGAAAAGGTGGATTTCTACGCTCTCCTCGGCAAGATCTACAGAGCCGCAGGGTTGAACAAAAGGCAGCGGTCTAGAGTGACAGGTCCTTACAGCTGAGAAGGACCTGGAAAGTCATGCACATCATTGCTCATGGGTCTCAGACTCGGCACCCCTGATCAAAAACAAATTGAGGAGCCCATTGCTCAGCTGCAGAACCACTATTCAGTAATGTGGAAGCTTGAAAGGCCCGTCCTTTCTTAAGGGCTTCGCTTTTTTCCATCTGTCACTTCCTGGGATTTTATACAATCCTGGCTCCCCCCAAAATGGTCATCAACAAACCCTAGAGCACCTGGGAAGTGTGTTCATCTATGGCCACCATGAACATGTCTGTTCAAACACACATGACAATACAGAAACACCCACAACCTTCACCTATCTGTCCTAACATGGTATCTCACACACACTGTCCTTCGTTCCCCATGGGACTCAATGAAGCCTCTCTTGGACGTTAAAATATATCATTTTCAATCACAGAGGAAGGAGAACACAAGAGGTACAGGCTAAGAACCAACTGGTGAGGTTACCCTCTTCTTCCTTTACTATTTACAGCATATAGTTCCTGGTTTTGCACCAGGATAAGTTGTCCACTTGAGCTACTGGGTTGCCCTCACTCCCCAGACTCTAACTTGTTTCGAATGACGAGGTTCCCTCTTAGTGTTAACTGGTGGGAAACTGTGAGGCACATGTCTGGCCCAGACCAGCACCAAGCCCATGAGATTTATGAGGAAGCATTCTTGCTTTAGCCCCACTCGCAGCACCATTTCTACGCCTCTCCCATCTCCCTATACCTCTTACTTCTTCTTCTTTTTAAAAGGGAGAGACAAACACGTGATGAAAAATTATTTCAGTAACACATGCTCAACAAAAAATTAGAAGTTACAGTTACGGTAAAGAGATAAATCAAAGAAAGGTAGCAAAAAAAAAATCAGAGGCAAACACTATTAACACAAGGTAACATATCCATGACCTATCCCCACAAGGGGTTCATACCAGCAAGTTCTGTAACTTGCTCATCCCTTTTATGTAATATATAATAGATACATAAATATGTTATGTTACAAACATATTTATGCACAGGCCATCCAAGGGTCACAACCATCCAACTTTATAACAACTCCTCTTACCATTTAACTTTACATAAATTTGCCTTCACTTTGAAATGACTGAGCCAGCTGCTACTCGCTCGTTCTTCTACAATCACCTTCACTTGCTACACTGTCATTGAAAAGGGTCCCAGTCCTTTCTTGCACTATAGTAAGGCCAAATAAGTACCCTATGCACCTATTCCTGGCTGCCTGCCTGCCCATTCTTTAAGGTACAGCTAGGAATGGCTCTCATTTGTAACTTAGGGTCTACCTGTACGTGAAAATCTTGCCCCACCAATCAATGCCCTTCAATCACATTTTAACGGACCTTTTCTTGCCTTCTTTTTTAAATCATTGTATTGGGGGCTCATACAACTCATAAAAATCCATATATCCATCCATTGTGTCAAGCACATTTGTACATTTGTTGCCATCATCATTCTCAAAACATTTGCTTTCTACTTGACCCCTTAGTATCAGCTCATTTTCCCCTTCCTCCCTAACCCTTTCCTCATAAACCCTTGATAATTTAGAATTTATTATTATTTTGTCATGTCTTACACTGATTTAGCAGACCATTTAATGGCATGGAGGCATCACTGTGGATTGAAGCAATTTTGAGGCATTTGGCTAGTTTCTGTAAACCTCCTGATAGCTTGATCTTGTTCATATCCTTATCACCACAAGAGCAATTCCTAGAAATCTCACCTATTTTGACTTCACTTTCTCCAGCTCCATTATATTTGGTTTGTATTTGTTTGTGAGCTGCTGCCGTAACTTTGCCTCTTTCTGCCGTGCCTCATTCAGCAAACATTTTTTTCTCCTAAATGTTTTTGCCCATTAAAATGCGTACATTGGAGGAGAATAGTTCTGACGAGGCCCGGGAACAGCTGTTCATGGGTTTCTTGGTTTTGCCTTCTCCCCTCCCCTGCTACTCGATGCTTCATAGCTTCTATGAAGAGGTTTATATTTTTTAACTGCTAAGTGTTATGGGCCGTGCTTGAAAAGATAGAGTTTCTTTCCAACAAAAAGGGTTGGTGGGATGAAAAGCTGGAGAGTAGATTAGATTCACATCTTTGACGATGGCAACTCACATCCCAAGCAGGAAGATGGTTAACAGCAACTGGTGGGAGGAACAAAATAGACCGGTGCATTTGAAGCTCCTGGCTGCCAGGGTGGAGGCTGGAGAATACGGCGAACCTTGAGGCTTCACAAACTTTGACTGCAAGGGCCTGCTCCTGTGGATCCAGGTGTGGCACTACTGCAGGAAGTCGGGGATCCTCCCTGCCCTTCTCTCCACCTGGACGGACCCCCAGGGACTGGCTCCCCAGAACAGGGATTCTTAATGTGGGGACCACAGACCCCAGGTAGTCCACTGGATAGGATTCAGGGAGTCTACGCTTTGTCAAGAAAGCAATCACATCTTTATTTTCCCACCCTAACAAAGAAAGTAAGCATCCCTTTCCATTGGGAATGCAGGAGTGTGAGCAACATTCATGGGCTCAGAAATCATAGATACTGTAACATCACACATTAAAAGTGGCACGACAGCTTGAAATCCTTGCAATCAGACTAGCTGCTAGACTTACCACTATATCTTACATTATTTAATACAGTAACAAAGAGACACATATATCGACATCACAACTAGGTCATTTCAGAAATATTTTGATAGCTGAACTGCAATGAGGCTTCCTAGTATCCATTTTTTTAAAAAGTGTATTTTAAAACATTCTCCTGAAAAGGGGGTTCAGAAGCTTCACTAGCCAATGAGGTCAAAGACACACACACTCGGTTGAAATTCTCACACACTCGCAGAAGCACAGCAGCCCAGTACTTGGGGAGCTAGTGGGTGATGGGGAATCGGGAGCTAGCGTGTAGCAGACCAGATGCCTCACCAGATACGTGACCTTCTCTGATCACTAGGCCATCGGCTGAGTTACTGTACCTCTGGTTTCCACTGCGTGGATGCACTTCTTGATGATGTTGAAGCCGATGCTGTCCAACTGTGCCACTGAAAGAGGAAGAAGGGCAGTCAAGGGGGCGGCTGTGCACACCGACCCCAGGACCAGGTTCGGCCAACCCAGAAGGGACCGATCCTGGCTGTGGTCACAAACCCACGTATGATAAAGTGGCTGGTGTACCCATTTTACGACAATTACAAAAATAGACTAGATGCACATTTTTGTTCACTCCATTCCTCAGTTGCTGAACAACACTGCGGGGCCAAGTGGAAGCACCTTGCCGAAGGAGTAACCAGGCTTCCTTTAAATTGCTTTGTAAATAGAAGCTGTTTGACCCATTTTTCATTTAATCCAGTTTCTAATATTTTCTACTTTCATTTCAATTGAGGGTTTTGTATTTTCTTCCTGTTTGACTGTTATTATTGTAAGTTTTCTTTTGGGGGCATTTTTCTCAGTACATCGGATAAACCTATAGAGACAGTAACTGGGGTGAATGCAGTCTTGAGGGTATGGCAAGGGGGTTAGGGGGCAGTGGGGGTTAATAATTATGCATACAGGAAAGAAGAAAATGTTCTACAATTGATTATGGTAATGACTGTATGACTCTTCTTGATATGACTGAAAGACTGAATTGGATGACATGCGGATTATGTTTCATGGAACTGTCTTTGAAGAAAAGAAAAAGGTCCAGCTGATGGTCATTTTTCTAAACATACCCAACCCATATTGCAGCTAAAGAAAGTGAAGTTTGGCAAGACCTTTGACGAAAACTGCACTGTGGGAGACTGGCCCCCAAGCTTACCCTCTTAGCTACCACCAAACTGCCTTCAATGCCAGCCAGGTGACTAGGAAAAAAAGGGTGGGGGGATGACCTCAACAAAACCGCCACAAACAAAGATGCTCCTGAAGAAGAACCACTCAGGCAGGTGAGGGGACCCTGCTGCGGGAAATCAGAAGATTCTGCTTTGGCTCCAGATCTGCTTGTGCCATTCAAAAAACCAATGACCGGTGGCAACGCCTTCTTGCCACAATGTGAGACCTCTTTCCAAGGTGGCAACTGGGTGGGAAGCCCATCGAAATGCCCTCCCCCCCCCCATGTGTGGGTTAGCCAGCGGCAGACTGTGTGGTCACCATTCAGAAGAGGCTTCCTTTGGGCCACTGGGCAGGCACATTTGACAGACAACCTGCATGTGCTGAGCTGGGGAGAGAGTGGAGTGGTACAATGTAAGACGGTGAGTTTTAGAAATAATCTGTCATGTACATATACAAATGTATCTATATATGAGGATGGGGAAATAGATCTATGTGCATATATTTATATGTTTAGTATTACGGTAGCAGAAGGACTTTGGGCCTCCACTCAAGTACTCCCTCAATGCAAGAATACTTTTTCTATTAAATTGGCATTCTATGATGCTCACCTTCCCGACACAACTGCTGAAGACAAAGCGTGTGAATAAGCAAATGTGGTGAAGAAAGCTGATGGTACCTGGCTATCAAAAGATATAGCGTCTAAAGGCTTGAAGGTAAACAAGCGGTCATCTAGCTCAGAGGCAACAAAGCCCACATGGAAGAAGTACACCAGCCTGGGCAATCATGAGGTGTCGAAGGGATCAGGTATCAGGCATCATCAGAACAAAAAAATCTTATCATAGTGAATGATGGGGGGAGTGTGGAGTGGAGACCCAAAACCCATTTAGAGGCCACTGGAGATCCCCTTACAGAAGGGTTGTGGGGAGGAGACGAGCCAGTCAGGGTGTGATGTAGCAACGATGAAACATACAACTTTCTTCTAGTTCCTAAATGGTTTTTCCTCCCCCACTATCATGATCCCAATTCTACCTTACAAATCTGGCTAGACCAGAGGATGTACACTGGTACAGATAAGAACTGGAGACACAGGGAATCCAGGGTGGATGATCCCTTCAGGATCAGTGGTGTGAGTGGCAATACTGGGAGGGTGGAGGGAGGGTGGGTTGGAAAGGGGGAACCGATTACAAGGATCTACATGTGACCTCCTCCCTGGGCGACGGACAACAGAAAAGTGGGTGAAGAGAGACGTCGGACAGGGCAAGATATGACAAAATAATTTATAAATTATCAAGGGTTCATGTGGGAGGGGGGAGCAGGGAGGGAGAGGGAAAATAAGGAGCAGATACCAGGGGCTTAAGTAGAGAGCAAATGTTTTGAGAATGATGAGGGCAATGAATGTACAAATGTGCTTTACATAATTGAAGTATGTATGGATTGTGATAAGAGTTGTATGAGCCCCTAATAAAACGAGTAAAAAAAAGAAGTATTTAACTGATGGCACAAATAGTTTAAATCTGAAGAAGCTCATCTACAAAAAAAAAAAAAAAGAATCTGTCATCATCCCAGGGCAAGAGATAAACTTTTACAATATGAGTGACTAGAACTTGGACACATCTTGGTGCTAATGCATGTGGAATCTTTCTTTTTCACACACACACAAAAAGATTGACAATTCCCAAAAATCAAACGACAAAGGAATGCTAATTTCCCATCATGTCTCTTCCCAAAGGGAAATAAAATAGCACTTGTACTTACATGCATACTTATTGCTAAGTGGTACTTCTTATAAACACACTCAGCCTCTAGGAAAGAGTAAAGTACCAGAGAAGGGGGTGGAAGACAATGTTTACTCTCCGGAGACCACCTGCTATCCAAACCACTCCTCTCAATCCCTGCTAACACAATCCTTACTTTTCCCAAGTTTTCTCTCGGCAACATGGGATGGTTCAAGCTTGCTGACTGATCTAAATTTTCTTTCCTACTGAAGCTCAGTTAACTCATGTCTTGGTCATTGTCCAAACTGAGTAACAAATAAGCAGACACAAGTCAAATAATACTTGTTGGAATTTTCTTATTATTATAGCATGGAGATATAATTCCCATACCGTACAGTCCACCCATGCAAAGTGCACTATTTCATAGCTTTCGGCATATCTACAAAGCAGAGTATCAATGCCTCCTATCTAATTCTGGACCACTTCCATCACCCCCAGAGGAAACCCCACAGCCATTAACAGTGAATGCGTCTCTCTCTCCGTTGGGACCTCAGACTCTGGCAACCATCAAACCATTGTGTACCGATATGGCTTTGCTTATTCTGGTGGATAGTTCATGAAAACAGAACCACACACTGTACGGTCTTTTCCTCTGGCTTCTTTCACTCAGCATCCCATTTTCTAGGTTCATCATGATATCAGAGTATGCATAAATACTTATTCTTTTCCGTGGCTGTATATGCCACATTTTATTTCTATCTCTTCCATACCTCCTACCACCCTCCCCCAACCCCCACTGACTGGCAGACATTGAAGTTTTTCTACTTTCAGGCTCTTATGCATAATGCTACTATAAATATTTGTGTACAGTCTTGTGTGGACATGTTTTTACTCTTTTGGGGTACATGCTAGAAGTGGATTTGCTGGGTCTGAGGGTAACTATGCTTAACTCTGTAGCAGCTGCTAAGCTGATTTCCAATGTGCCCGCCCCGTTCACACTCGTCCACTCCCATCCGCAATGGACGAGGGTTCCAATTTCTCCACAGCCTGGCCCACATTTTGTCCTTTATATTACAGGCTTTATATTGGTGGGTGTGAAGTGGGCTGTGTCAGTGTGGTTTCAATGAGCATTTCCCTCATGACTAATAGTGCTGAGCACCTCTTCATGTGTCGGGGAGGAGTCT